GGAGTCATATCCATGGAGGGACGCACAGACCTCTACAGGCTAGACTGCCATTAGGTATCGAGATGAAATTCTTGGACCCATTGTCAGACCGTATGCTGGTACAGTGGTTCTTGGGTTCCTCCTGGTGCACGACAATGTCCGGTCTCATGTGCCAAGAGTATGCAGGTAGTTCCTGGAGGATGAAGGAATTGATATTATTGAATGGTCCCCATGCTCGCCCTGACCTAACTCCAATAGTACACCTCTGGTATATCATGTTTCAGTCCATCCGACGACGCCAGGTGGAACCTCAGACTGTCCAGGAGCTCAGCAATGCCCTGGTCCAGATCTGGGAAGAAATTCCCCAGCACACCATCCGTCATCTCATTAGGAGCATGCCCCGATGTTGTCAGGCATGCATACAAGCATGTGGGGGCCACACAAACTACTGAGTACCATTTTGAGTTGCTGCAATTAAATTTCAGCAAAATGGACTAGCCTGCTGCATCATTTTTTCACTTTAATTTTTGGGGTGTCTTTGAATTCAGTCCTCTGTAGGTTGATAATTTTAAATTCCAAACAAGGGGCATCCTTACGTTCCTAACACATTACCCGGTCCATATCAGTATAGATAGCTAGCATGATATTTTTCCCGATTGAAATATGATGTGGTTTTAAAGGGTTCCTTTAATTTTTTTTTTTGAGCAGTGTATACACACACACAGCAAGTGCAGCATCACTATGATGACATCGTACTGCTGTGGTGGTTATCATGTACAATGGCTGGCTGCTCTGTATCACTGTATGTCAGTGCCACCAGACATTGTCTATGATCATCATCTCAGTAGTGCAACGTCATCAGAACAGTGCTGCCAGTCAGTGCCTTAATCACCTCCACACCAGTCCCAGGGTCCGTGATCACTGCCACACCAGTCCCAGGGTCCGTGATCACTGCCACACCCATTCCCAGGGTCCCTGATCACCGCCACACAAGTCATATTGTCCCAGATCACTGACACACCAGTTACAGTGTCCCTAATAACTGCAACACCAGTCGCAATGTCACCACAGTAGTGTAAATCAGCAATGGTGTCTCTGACTATCACCACACTAGCCCCAGTGTCACCAAACTAGTGTAAGTTAGCAGGAGTGTTCATTTTCATTTTATTTTCTGTATTTTCCAAAAATGTATGGCAAAAAAAATTACATTTTAAAAAGACTGAGAAAATTCATTAGAGCGTTTGCTTTCCAAATTGAAGTAATTTTGTGGGTGTTTTCACTGTCCTGGTGCTCCAGAGCCTCCAAAAAAATGTGATAGGTAGTCAGAAAATTAGATGCGTAATTTATACACCTTGAAAGCCCAAAAGATGTTCCTTGGACTCTGGGCCCCTCTATGCATCTAGGATGTGAAAAAAAGCTGAAATACTCGGAAGGCGTAGCAGATTGTATTTTGGGGTGCTATTGTAAGGATGCCTATGCTATGTGTGAGAATGAACTTGTTAAAATGACAACTTTGTGACAAAGAAAATGTATCTAATTTATTTATTTTCCAAAAATTGTGACAAAATTTTTGGCATTATAGGGCCCTTAGGAACGAGAAAGGCATTCAATACTTTAGAAATGGTCAATTTTAAAAAACACACACACACACACACACACACACACACACACACACACACACACACATACTTTGTACATCCTATTTTTGCCAAAAAATGTAGCAGAATACATTTTGCTCTAAATTTATGAAGAAAGATAATTTGCAAAATATTTATAAACAGAAACTAGGAAACTTTTTTTTCTTAAAAAAAAAACTTTTTTTTTTTTTTTTTTTATAGCGAAAAAAACCCCCAGTGTTGATTACGTACCACCAAAAGAAAGCTCTGTCTCAAAAAAAATGCTAAATATTTAATTTGGGTACAGTGTTGCATGCCTAATTGTCATTCAAAAGTGTAACAACGCTAAAAATGAAAAAAATGGCCTGGGCAGGATAGGGGTGAAATTGCTTGGTTTTAAAGTGGTAAAAGAGTCACTTATGAACTATTTTAGGTACCGTAAATTGTTGTATTTTGTTGTAAATTGGTATCTGTTTACTTGATGCAACCCCATGTTTTATGAAAAAATTGGGCATTATATTGTCTTTGGATGCACTAAAATTCACGTTATTGTATTTTGCCCTAAAAATATGCATTTGATAAATGGCTGAGCAAATATTTTGTGCACAAAAACAAAATTTCAACAGCCACCGATTTATTTTCTAGGGTCTGTGGTTTTAGAACACATACAAAGTGATTTGTATATATAAAAAAAAAAAAAAAAAATGCAAATTTCAACATGTATTTGAAAATTAAATTAAAATTGCCCCATGGACAAGTGGTTAATGTATACCTGAATATTTGTTTTTGTTTTTAGTTTTAGAAAAGTGAAAAAAACATTCCCAAAAACTTTGAGTGTTCACCAGAGAGCTCTACTTATGCACTAATTAAAAAAACAAACAAAAAAAAAAAAACCTTAAAACAGGGGTTATAAAGGGAATCCTTTAATCTATCCAAAAATGGGGAAAAAAGTTTTCATTAAATGTAATTTTAACTAAATTTTAGAAAATACTTATCTACAAGTACACAATTTTTTTAAGCACTTGTCAAAATAGAAAAAAAAAATTTAGTTTTTTTTTTTTGGTTATATTACTTTTCTTGTCTAAGGACTTATTCCTAAACAAATATTTTGACAAAACAATAGCACAAAGGGGAAACCTTGTTTGTCATTTTTTAAAAAAAACAACATATGCATGACTTTGTTTTCCTAAGTAAAACAAAGTTTTTGCCAAATAAATAGGTCCATAGTAGAAATGTACACATTGCTCTGGTTCATATGGGGGGCGTACAGGGATGAGATGTGACATGGCTAAATGAATCAATGCAAAAACACAAATATAGCACTAGTTTTTAAAGGAACCTTCTTTCTACAGATGAACTGAAAGAATGGATGCTTGGGTAGTACAGTATGTAGTTTGCATTCCATCTAGTGGTTAGTGAAAGCACTGCAGCAAATATTACCAATCAAGCCTCTTCTCAGCACTGTGACAATTTATTTAAAGCCTAACTTCATCTTTACTTTGACACTAAATAGTTCACTTGGGCCAAGCCAGCCCATATAGTATACAGCGCTCTGTCAGCGCTGCCAAAACAAAACCAATTACTAAAATACTGCATGACTTCATAAAATAACTCATGAAGTATTTTAGTAGCGTTTCTTAGTGAATGCCAACAAACGTTTGGAAAAACTGTGTGTGGTATCTTACCACATACTTGTGAATTGTCCCCTATTCCCTTTATTAATAGGTGCACCCACTGTCAGCTAAATAACCTGTATGTAGAATTGGCTAATACAGTACACATTGCTGTGTTCCGTCAGTGGTACGGGGAGTTCCTGTCTGTTGCTGGAACAAAATTGAGACAGGCTGAGGGACGCTCAGGTGTCAGTGGGATCCCTGCTAACAGCTAAATGTAAAAAAAAAAAAATAATAAAATAATATGGCGGTAATTAAAGATTAAGAATGAAAAAAAAAAAAAAAAAAAAAAAAAAAAAAAAACGGAGTGGGCTCTCTCCTCCCCAATTCATACCAGGCCCTTCGGATCTATTATGAATTTTGAGGGGAACCCCCATGCCAAAAAAATATACCCTTATCTGAGTATGCAGCCCGGCAGGTCAGGAAGGGGGATTCCTTTCCTGACCTGCCTCCTGAACCATACGAGGCCATGTGGTTCTACATGGGGGGACCCGGGATGTCATCGGATGATCCTGCCCCCTTGTGACTTAATCGACCCAGCATGCCCTGGATGTCACCGGGTGGCCCTGCCCCTTAATTATTTAAGAACTGTCAAGTGGCGGAGCTGTCAGACAGCAGGAGCCTGTTTTTTTTTCCTTTTTTGGTAGGCAGTGGGCATCATGATAAATGATGGATCTACGCCAGAGGACATTTTTGGGGGGTTTTTAATAAAGGACTTGTCAAAAACTGCCTCCTGTGTTATTTTACACTGCATGTACCCCATACTCATTCACATAAAGGGGGGGCCAGGATCTGGGGGCCCCCTTGATAAAGGGGGCTACCAGATTACGATAAGCCCCCCTGCCTGCAGACCCCCATAACCAATAGCCAGGGTTGTGCGAAAGAAGTCTTTGTCTCTATCAACATAGAGTGGTGACTGCCCACTCCTTAACAACCATACCGCATAAACTGGCTGAAAATTAACATTTTGAATATCGCATGAGAGAACTGGAAAAAATGTGTCATGCGATCCAATTATCTCATGCGATATTCTTTAGTGAATTGAGCCCATAGTTCATTATGACCAACTTGGCCCAAAAAACTTTTGAAAGTAAAAATAAACATGGGAATAAGGCTTTAAAGTATAACTAAAAGGTAAACCCCCCTTTTTTTTTTCTTCAAAGGTTTGGACAGAGGAGAGGGATTAGAACACCAGTTTTTATTGCCACCTGTGCACCATTAGGGGATTTACCCTCTCTGTTTATCCGGTTTACCCATGTCATTGAAAGTCAAAGTAAAGAAAACCCCAAATTTCAGGTTGTCCCTAGAAAAGTAACAGAGGGGGAATTTTCCAATGGGAACACTAGTTTTGGTGACCTAGGGGTCCCCAAAGAATTCCCCTAATTTTCAAGGATTTTTCTCTCACTTCCTGTTGTGGCTATAGGACAGGAAGTGAAGTCTAATCTCCCCCATGGGACACAGATGACAAAAAGTAGACAGGGGTTATAACCCTCCCTTACTCTATCCTAAATGAAAAAAAAAAAAAGTTTTTCTATAGTTCTACTTTAATCAAAATTGAAAAGTATATTTTTAATCTAACAGTCATAAAGGAGAAAAAAAAAAAAGGAGTGTTCTTTTATTAAGATGAGGTATTTGACAAATATTAACATAAATATTGCTCAATAGGAGAATTACAAACGGATATTCCCACATTTTATATAAAACGGAATATAACCTGTGGCTTCTAACTTACTTTTGGATGACATTTTGCAAACTCAGCATCATTCCCAACTCGCATCTCATTTTCTCTCTGTTGGCACGACATTCTGCTAAGTATCGGAGAGCCTGGAAAAAACAAAAACAGAAAAAAAAAAACAAACCTTAAAAAAAAACATATAGTTTACTTACAGTTGTGTCCAAAATTATACCAAAAATGCACAGAACATTCATAGTTTTTACATTAGCACTTGTAGGTCAGACCAGAGCAAAATTGACAAAAATCATATGCCATATGAAAGGTAAGCATCCTTTTACAGTTATAACAAAACGCACTGTTGGTGTCTTATTGTGTAAAAGGCTAAACCCATGGGGAAAAAAGTCCCAAATGGCCACTCCAAAATGTATGCTCTATATATATATATATATATATATATATATATATTTTGTTTCATAATATATATATATATATATATATATATATATATATTTATATTACACACACACCACACACTCCTCACCTTTGTTCTTCCTTTTTTTTGTTTCATATTTTATTATATCTTTTCATGTGACAACACTGAAGAAATGACACTTTGCTACAATGTAAAACTAGTGAGTGTACAGCTTGTATAACAATGTAAATTTGCTGTCCCCTTTCAAAATAACTCAACACACAGCCATTATTGTTTAAAAACCACCATGGCAACAAAAGCGAGTACACCCCTAAGTGAGTATGTCCAAATTGGGCCCAATTAGCCATTTTCCCCATTTACTCCCATAAACAATTGATGTCATTTTAGTTGCATTTGGTGTCATGTGACCCATTAGTGTTACAAACTGGTCTCAGGTGTGAATGGGGGTGCTTATTGGTGTGTTAAATTTGGGGTAAATGTTTATATCTAAAATCTCTCATACTGGTCACTGGAAGTTCAACATGACACCTCCATGGCAAAGAACTCTCTGAGGATCTGAAAAAAAAAATGGGGAGGTGTGTTAAATTTGGGGTATTGTTGCTCTACATAAAGATGGCCTGAGGACTATACATAAAGATTGCTATAAGAAGATTGCAAAAACCCTGAAAACTGAGCTGCAGCACGGTGGTCAAGACCATACAGCGGTTTAACAGGAAAGGTTCCACTCAAAACAGGCCTCACCATGGTCGACCAAAGCAGCTGAGTGCACGTGCTCAGCGTCATATCCAGAGGTTGTCTTTGGGAAATAGACGTATGAGGGCTGCCAGCATTGCTGAAGAGGTTGAAGGGGAGGGGGGGGTCAGCCTCTCAGTGCTCAGACCATACGCCGCACACTACATCAAATTGGTCTGCATGGCTGTCGTCCCAGAAGGAAGCCTCTTCTAAAGATGATGCACAAGAAATTAATATGCAACTAAATGAACAAAAATGTTCCCATCTCAATTACTTTCATCTGTTAAAGTGAGAATAATAAACAACTCAAAATAACAAATAAACATTTCTGACATGTAAAAAAAAAAAAAAAAAAAAAAAAAAACACAGTGACCAATATAGCCACCCTTCTTTTCAATAACAATCATAAGTCTTCCATTCATGGGGGCAGTTTCTTGATCTGCTGACAATTAACTTTTTGTGCAGCAGCAACCACAGCCTCCCAGACACTGTTTGAGAGGTGTACTGTTTTCCTTCACTGTGAATCTCCTGTTTAGGAAGGGCCCACAAGTTCTCAATAGGGTTTAGGTCAGGTGAGGAAGGGGGCCATGTCATTATTCTTTCATCTTTAAAGGCCTTTACTGGCTAGCCATGCAGTGGAGTACTTCAATGCATGCGATGGAGCATTGTCCAGCTTAAATATCATGGTCTTCTTGAAAGATACAGACTTTTTCCTGTAGCACTGCTTGAAGAAAGGGTCTTTTGAAAACGCAGCAGGTCTGAGAGTTGATTTTGAGTCCATCTTCAACCCAAACAGGTCCAACTACCTTATCTATAATAATACCAGCACCCCAACTCCATCTCGCTGGCATCAGAGTTGAAGTGGAGCTCTGTGCCCGATCCAGCCACAAGCCCTTCCATCTGGTCCATCGAGAGTCACTCATCTCTCATTGGTCCATAAAACCTTTGCAAAATCTGTCTTCAGATATTTCTTGGCCCAGTCGACGTTTCAATTTATGTGTCTTGTTCAGTGGTAGTCGGGTTTCAGCTTTCCGTACCTTGGCCATGTTTCTGAGCACTGAACACCTTGTACATCTGGGCACTTCAGTGCTGTAATATTCCAGAACTACCAGGAGGATAATGGGTTTCAGGTAGTTTCACATTTGATTCTTCTCATATCTTCGGCAGTTATTTTGCATCTTTTTTTCTCAACACGTTTCTTGCAACCCTGTTGACTATTTGCAACAAAACGTTTGATGGTTCTGTGATCACGCCCCAATATCTTAGTGATTTCAAGAGTGCTGCATCCCTCTGAAATACTTTTTACAATTTTTGACTTTTCAGAGTCAGTTAAATCTCTTTTATTGGCCCATTTTTCCTGAAGAAAAGAAGCTGTCTAATAATTATGCACACTTTGATATAGAGTGTTGATCTCCTTAGGCCACAACCCCACCTCATTACACAAATACACATCACCTGATATGCATAAATCCAATAAGCATTCAAGTTTATACAGCTCAGAGTTGGACAATATGCTTAAAAAATCATGATTTGGTTAAAATACTCATTTGCCAAATAATTGTGCACACAGCATATATACAGTCAGGTCCATAAATATTGGGACATCGACACAATTCTAACATTTTTGGCTCTATACACCACCACAATTGATTTTAAATGAAACAAACAAGATGTGCTTTAACTGCAGACTGTCAGCTTTACTTTGAGGGTATTTACATCCAAATCAGGTGAACGGTGTAGGAATTACAACAGTTTGCATATGTGCCTCCCACTTGTTAAGGGACCAAAAGTAATGGGACAATTGGCTTCTCAGCTGTTGCATTGCCAGGTGTGTGTTATTCCCTCATTATCCCAATTATAATGAGCAGATAAAAGGTCCAGAGTTCATTTCAAGTGTGCTATTTGCATTTGGAATCTGTTGCTGTCAACTCTCAAGATGAGATCCAAAGAGCTGTCACTATCAGTGAAGCAAGCCATCATTAGGTTGAAAAAACAAAACAAACCCATCAGAGAGATAGCAAAAACATTAGGCGTGGCCAAAACAACTGTTTGGAGCTCAGCAACACCAAAAGACCCAGAAGACCACGGAAAACAACTGTGGTGGATGACCGAAGAATTCTTTCCCTGGTGAAGAAAACACCCTTCACAACAGTTGGCCAGATCAAGAACACTCTCCAGGAGGTAGGTGTATGTGTGTCAAAGTCAACAATCAAGAGAAGACTTCACCAGAGTGAATACAGAGGGTTCACCACAAGATGTAAACCATTGGTGAGCCTCAAAAACAGGAAGGCCAGATTAGAGTTTGCAAACGACATCTAAAAAAGTCTTCACAGTTCTGGAACAAAATCCTATGGACAGATGAGACCGAGATCAACTTGTACCAGAGTGATGGGAAGAGAAGAGTATGGAGAAGGAAAGGAACTGCTCATGATCCTAAGCATACCACCTCATCAGTGAAGCATTGTGGTGGTAGTGTCATGGCGTGGGCATGTATGGCTGCCAATAGAACTGGTTCTCTTGTATTTATTGATGAGTGACTGCTGACAAAAGCAGCAGGATGAATTCTGAAGTGTTTGGGGCAATATTATCTGCTCATATTCAGCCAAATGCTTCAGAACTCATTGGACGCCGCTTCACAGTGCAGATGGACAATGACCCAAAGCTTACTGCAAAAGCAACCAAAGAGTTTTTTAAGGGAAAGAAGTGGAATGTTATGCAATGGCCAAGTCAATCACCTGACCTGAATCCGATTGAGCATGCATTTCACTTGCTGAAGACAAAACTGAAGGGAAAATGCCCCAAGAACAAGCAGGAACTGAAGACAGTTGCAGTAGAGGCTTGGCAGAGCATCACCAGGGATGAAACCCAGCATCTGGTGATGCCTATGCATTCCAGACTTCAGGCTGTAATTGACTGCAAAGGATTTGCAACCAAGTATTAAAAAGTGAAAGTTTGATTTAAGATTATTATTCTGTCCCATTACTTTTGGTCCCTTAACAAGTGGGAGGCATATATGCAAACTGTTGTAATTCCTACACCGTTCACCTGATTTGGATGTAAATACCCTCAAATTAAAGCTGACAGTCTGCAGTTAAAGGACATCTTGTTTGTTTCATTTCAAATCCATTGTGGTGGTGTATAGAGCCAAAAATGTTAGAATTGTGTCGATGTCCCAATATTTATGGACCTGTACACCATATTGCCAAAAATATTGGTACGCCTGCCTTTACATGCCCATGAACTTTCATAGCATCCCAGTCTAGTCCGTAGGGTTCAGTATTAAGTTGGCCCACTCTTTGCAGCTATAACAGCTTCACCTCTTCTGGGAAGGCTGTCCACAAGGTTTAGGAGGGTGTCTATGAGAAGGTTTGACCATTCTTCCAGAAGTGCATTTGTGAGGTCATGCACTGATGTCAGACAAGAAGGCCTGGCTCGCATTCTCCGCTCTAAAGCATTCCAAAGGTGTTCTTTCGGGTTGAAGTCAGTGCTCTGTGCAGGCCAGTCAAGTTCCTCCACCCCAAACTTGCTCATCCATGTCTTTATGGACCTTGCATTGTGAACTGGTGCACAGTCATGTTGGAACAGGAAGGGGCCATCCCCAAAATATTTCCACAAAGTTGGGAGCATGAAATTATCCAAAATGTCTTGGTATGCTGACGCCTTAAGAATTCCCTTCACTGGAACTAAGGGGCCAAACCCAACCCTTGAAAAACAACCCCACACCATAATCCCCCCCCCACCACCAAACTTTACACTTGGCACAATGCAGTCAGGCAAGTACTGTTCTCCTCGCAACCGCCAAACCCAGACACGTCCATCAGATTGCCAGACAGAGAAGCGTGATTTGTCACTCCAGAGAACATGTCTCCACTGCTCTAGAGTCCAGTGCCGGCATGCTTTGCACCACTACATCTGATGCTTTGCATTGCACTCGGTGATGTAAGGCTTGGATGTAGCTGCTCGGCCATGGAAACCCATTCCATG